GGGGGGGGGGGGGTGTCTTCGCTCAAAACTCCTCACACGCTCGTCACACGTATTGTTGTTTGTTGCTGTTACCGTGTTGTTGCTCGTACTGATTTATTTTTCATCGTTTTAGACGCAGCGGCCTCGCAACGCCACGCTCCTATGTTAATGGTCGAGTGATCGGCGCGTGATCGGCGACACAAGTTCACACGCAACTCGGAGTATCTCCGGTACTGTTTAAAACGCGCGCACCCGGCGCGCGCGTTGCGAGCGCACGGCGTCAGGGTCGAGTCAAGGCGGACGACTCGAAGAAGAGAAGAGTTCTTGTTCGCGCGAGAGCGCGCGATAATTTCCAGCGAGGTCCCCGATCGAACGATCGATCGTCGCTCGTACGCGGATTCGCACTTGGCTCGCGAACGGAAGCCGCGCGAGAACCGGACGCCGGAGGTCAACCAGCGCGCCTACACAGAGATTGCCTACACACGGACACTCGTCGTGCCGTCGCGACGACAGATACGCATTTTCGATCCGGGAAGCGCCGCGCCGTGCGTTCGCTCGACGCGGTCGCTTCTTCCCCCCCACCCTCATATTTCTCTCTTGTTTTCTTTTTAAATTAATTAACTCTGTCTCTGTAACCGTCGTGTTCTTCGCGCTACTATGTACAATATACAACGTCGTGCCTCCTGCCCTAATTTTTTTACGACGGCGTCGGGACGCGCGCGCCCGATCGCTTCCCCATCGACGTCTCGTCGTCGTTGTCCCTCTTGTCCGGGACACTGCTCTCGCACGTTCGCTCACGAATCACCTCCTCCTCCTCGGGACAGCTCGCTCTTATCCCGCGCGTAGAATAATCAGAGCGTCACCCGTAACGCCGGAGAGAGTCGAGGGAGAATGCAAAATCGCGCCACGAGCTCGCGCAGTGACGGCTCGCACTCGGTGTGTGTGTATGTGTGTGTGTATCGCGAGAAAACAAGTAACTAATTCTCGATCAGACATCGTAATAATAGGAACTTGATTGTACATTGTTAGCCCGGCCTTGCCCTGTAACATAAGCCCGATGACTGTTGAAACGAGTTACGAGCTTAGCACGTTTGTCGCGTGCGCGCTAAAAGGAAAATGTGTCCGCAAGTTATACTGCGTATAACGCTTCTAAGTCGGCGAAATGCAGCGATCTCTGATCTCTCAGGAGCGAAAGTCCTGCTCGGGAAAGAAAATCGTTCAGCGAACTCGAGACAAATAGAGCGCCATGTCGATAAATACTAAGAACGAGCCGTCATGCGCGCGTGAACAAAAATGAATCTCATCCGAGTATCGTTATCGCGACGATGAGGAAGCATCGATCGCGAGCCCACCGTCGCCTTGTATTATTTATCAAGATAAATATATACATATATGTGTGCATGTACATGTGTATATATGCACACACACACACATACACAATTGTGTATGTGTATATACACATATACGCACAATCTTATACACACATATACGCATACGCGCTCACGTACACGTATACATTTTACACGCGCTCTTTTTTCTTTATAATATATATAATATATATAATATCTTATTTATATATATATATATATATATATATATATATATATATATATATATATATATATATATATATATAT